GGCCGGCGCTGCCGGGAACCGCCGCCGCGGCCCGGCCGTGGGCCCTCGGCCGCGCCGCTGATGTAAACAGTGGCCGGGCCTCCCCCGCGCGGGCCGTCGCTCGGACTCGGGGAGGTGAGGCCCCGAGAGCGCTCGTTGCACGGGGATCTCGAGGAAGACCGGCTCTAAGGTCGCGCGCCCGGCCCCGCGCTCAGCGCCGAGGGCCAGCGTCACATCTGAGCCCTACAACGGTCCCACCCGCGACATGCTGGCTGCTGGCAGCCATGCTCTGCGGCTGAGGACACTGAGGCTCGGCGAGGTGGCCACTTAGCAGGTCCAAGGTCATTGGCAGAGCCAGAATTTGAACCCCAATGCCTTTAAGCCTCTACAGGCCCAGTAAAATTACGCTGCCCCCCAACTGCTTCTTAATACAGAGAAATGGAGGGTGTCCAGATGAGTCGGGTCCCACTAGTTCTTCACCAAAGAACTGTTTACCCTTTGACATCCTGCGGATGTTCTGAGAGCTTGTCCCCACCCCCCTTCCCCCTGCAGTTATTATATAATAATAACAATAATAACCAACTGCAGTTATTCAGCAAGGATGGCTTGTGGTTTTCATTGGGGAATCTGGTGTGTGGGTGCCTGATGAAAGTCTCTGGCAGCATCCAGACGTCCTTGCCGGAAGTGTGTTGATGTGTTTCTGCCTGGAAACTGGCCTTTGGCTGCAGGCTGAGCCTCCACTCCCTTAGTCTCTAAAGGTCTTTCCTCCCTAATACCTGCTGGGGCTTCCCTGATAAGGACCCTTCCTGCTGCCTATGCTCTTTCCACATGCTGTACTTGGTGCTTTTTGTGCCTCTGTCACTTATTGAAACCTCCTGGCTGCCCTATGAGTTGGGAATTCCAGTAATTCCTATTTTACAGATAAAGAAACTTCACATCAAAAAGATCAACCACTTGGTCCAAGGTGGCAGAGCTGGGATTCAAACCAGGTCTGCCTGTGGCCAGACTGGGTCACTGGCTCTTAAAATTAGATTCACCTGGAGTTTGGGGACAAAAAAGATTCCAGAGCCCTACGCTGGGAGGTTCTGATTTGGAAAGTCTTGGGTGTAGCCCTGGAAACTGTGTTTGATCTCCTCTAGGGTGTCCTGGGCCCTGCTCGGGGCTGTTTCTCTTCCCTCTTCTGACTTCCAGTGTAGTTGCTGACCAGGGAAGTCTTTGGACTTGCCCCTCCTGGGTCCTCTCGTGAGACCCTGCCTGCCTCTCTCCTCAGGATGACCAGCTCCTGGATGATGGCAAGACCCTGGGCGAGTGTGGCTTCACTAGTCAGACAGCACGGCCGCAGGCCCCAGCCACTGTGGGGCTGGCCTTCCGGGCAGGTGAGAAGGGCAGCCAGGCTGGGTGGAAACAGCCAAAGAATGGGGTTGTCAGGGAGTCTGCAGTTCTTCAAAGTCTCCAGGACAATGTCTTCCCAGTCCACAAAGCACAGGCAATGTGCTGTGACAGTGTATTTGTTTCTCCATAAAAAAGATGAGAAGCAAATGAGATGCTTGTAGAAATTGAAGCCTATTTCATGAAAGATTCAAAGATTCCTAGTCATGATACCAGCTTACGTTTACAGAGGGCTTGTTGAGTACCTGGCCCTGCACTCGGCATTTGACTTCTGTTGGCCCATCTCATCCTCTCAGTAGCTCTGGGAGGTAAGCACTGCCATGCCCATTTTGGAGACGTGGACTCCGAGGCTTGCTGGAAGTCACGTGGGGAGCCACGGTTCTGATGCAGACTGCCAGGACCTTGCCTGAGCTGGGCACCATGCCAGGCACTGTCTTTACAGTACATCACTTAATCCCCCAGTGTCCCTGTGCATGCCAGACTTGTATTATATGCCCATTTTGAGGAATAGTAAACAGCCTGCAGAGGTTAGGTCACTTGCTGGGACTGCAGATCCAAGATTCACATCCAGCCCCTGCCTGCCCCAGAGCGTGTACTCTCGTCAACCACATATCCCCCTGCCCAAAGTTTAGAAGCCTAAGGGATGGGGGTGGTTTACTTCCCTCCAATGTACCTCTTTCCCCCAAGAAAAAGAGAGGAAATGTGAGTTTTATTCTTTGTCTCTGGAAACTTAAATAGCTGTCGTAGGGTATTTTATAGCTTTGGACCCAGGGGCTGTGCGGATGGCTGGGTAAACTTGAGTGAAGTTACAAGGATTATTTTTCTGGCTTCTTGTAAGAAAACGTAGTGAGGGCTGAGGAGGGAGCGAATAGCCTTAGCCACACTTTTCAGTTTCATAAGGATAACTGTGCGAAGCCTCAGCAGCTGTGTCTTCGGGTGGACTGGAGTTCCTGTCCCCATAAAGGGGTGATACTAGGACCAGCCCCACACGAGTCAGTGTGAGCCCCCACGCATCCTAGGCCAGAGCCTTTGAGTGGTCAGCAAATGGAAATCTTAGGGGCCTTTATGTGGGTTGCTTCTGACCCTCATGTGACACCGCAGCGGGTGCCGGGCTGGTGCAGACTTTTATCAGGCCCTGTACAGGGAGGCCCTTCTGAAGGGAGCAGGTGAGGGCTGAGAGCTCCTCTGCTGGTCCACTTGCTACGCTAAGGCCAGGCTGTATTCTCCCAGAGGAAGTGTCCCATTCTTTGATTGGAACAAAGGCACCCTGTAGGCTTGCAGCGACTCTTGGAAGATGTTGCTAGACCTATTTTGCAGATGAAGAAATCATGACACCAAGAGGTGATTTGTGTTTCCCCATGACTCCCAGTATGACGTTGAATGAGGTGGTGGCTGTGGACCCCGGTGGCATCACCCCTCAGGCAGGTGATTGCTGTCTCGCTAGAGGCTTTTCACTTCCCCCACAGGCTACTTTCACTTACAGAAACACACTTCTAAGTGGACCTGTTTCCCAGGTAGTAGTTTCCTGGTGCAGCTGGAGGAGGTGTGAGACACGGGTATGTCTCCCCACCCCCAAACTAGCTTCAGTTAGGGAGATGACAGTGTCAAATCAACTGTTAAATGGCATCATCCAGACTTTATTTCCAAAGAATGGGAAAAGTGATGAAGGCAAGAATTGTCACTGCAGATATGTGGCTTGGAAGATGAATTAGTTCTTGGTGTCTTAACTTCAGCACTACTGACATTTGGGGCTGGAGAATTCACGTGTGGGGTTGTCTCATGCCTTGTAGGATCTTTAGCAGCATCTCTGGCCACTACCAGAGGTGGCCATCTACCCACTAAATGCCGGTTGCAGCCACCTACACCCACCCCCAAGTTGACAACCAGAACTGTTGCCAGACATGGCCAGCTTTCCTTGGGGGACCTAATCAGTTGAGAACCCTGAGCCAAGTGGAGAGAATAGTCTCCCAGGTAGAAGAAAGCACAGGAGAAAAGTTGTCAAGTAGGGTTCATTTGTTCTGTGCTGGGGCTGCTGTTGTAGTGGGGAGAGCAGCTGGTCAAAAGAAGCAAAGGGCCATTTGGGCTAGTAGTCAGTGCTCCCCAGGCAATGCACAGGGCATTGGGATGGAGTGATTGTTTATATGGTGTGGCTGGGGAAACCCTGAATGCCATTCTGAGTGGCAGGCTAGGGATCAGCAAGTGCAAAGGCCCTGAGGCAGGAAAGAGCTTGATGTGAGAACCCTGGGGAGCACAGGAGACAGGTGGAGACATAATGGTGAGGACTTGAGATTTTATTCAGAGTGTGACAGGAAGCTCAAGTTTTAAGCAGGGGAGGAATAGAATCTGGTTTGACTTTGAAAAATCACTTAGTAGGAAGGGAACGTGAAGGGAACAAGGAGATGGGTGAGGTTCTGGGTGAGGAGTGATGGTGGCTATGGAGCCAGCAACAGGTAGGTGGATGCAGGTCAGCCCACAGGCTCAGTGATGGATGTGGAGGGATGGCCAGCCTCGGGGAGGGGAGTGGGGTCAGGTTGCGCCTGGAGGAGGGGGAGACATTCCGGTACGGCCATGGAGTCCAGGCAGTTGGATGCAGGGAGGTCAGGGCAGTGGAGGAGACTCACTTTTTGGGGGCAAGTGTTTGCTCGGAGGCCCCCAGAAGCTAGAGGTGGCTACCTGTTCCAGCTCTCCCCACTCCTCTCCACCAGATGAGGCTTTTGAGGCCCTGCGCATTGAGCCCTTCTCTAGCCCGCCGGAGCTGCCTGATGTGATGAAGCCACAGGACTCAGGAAGCAGCGCCAATGAACAAGCCGTGCAGTGAGAAGGCCCCTGGGCCCACCCCAGTGCCCCATTCTCCCCAATAAAAGAGATTTGGGTGTTCGCCTTGTTGCTGCCTCTTTCTGCACACCGTCTCCGGACTCCAGGAATCATCCTCACTGGGATGGGGTCCACTCCCCTCAAGGCTCCTCCTCTTCTTGCTTGCCAGGCTGGCCTGCTCAACCATAGGCTCTCTGGGCCCAGCTGTCCACCCCCGGCCCAGCCCATCCCACCCGACTCCTCAAAGGCCATGTGGAGAGGACTGGGAGGAACCCAGAGCCCAGGGTCAACCTTCTGCTCGGCCTGTGGACAAAAGGTTTGAGGCTTTGTTCCTTACGAGTGCCCCCCTCCCAGCATGCCTGTCCCCAGGCAGGCCAGCGCCTCTTGTCCTGCTCAGAGGCTTCTGGGTGGAGGAACAGAGGCCAGGAGCAGAAGTGTAAGCTGGAGCCAGTGTGTTGGTTTGAGCAGGTTCTGTGGGAGGCCCACAACCCAGAGCCGCCCTGACACAGGTCCTCCAAGGCCTGCAGTGTGCTCCTTAGCGGGGGTGCAGCCAGAGTAGGAGAGCAGCTCCTCCCCCAACCCTTAATAAACAGTCTATAAACCCAATTCCTGCATTTCTCCTTTTTATTTGACAGAAAAAGTTGCTCTTGCTGTACAGATTTTAAAAAACCAAAATGCCTTTAAGAAACGTGAAGAAAAGTTGGGGGGAGGGGGCCACAACCTCACTGGGGGGGGGCAGCAGGGGCCAGCTAATTTCAACTCCTGCCCCTTCCTTCCAGGAACAGCTCACCCAAGTACCGGAGTCCCAAACCATGATCCCCCCAGGGACTCGGGGATCAAAGGGGGGCAGTGTCTCCCCAGGCCCTTTCTGACTCAAGACCAGGGTGTCCTGAACTATCCTCCCCTCCCAAAACACCCATTCTCATTCCCACCCACCCCAAACCCCCCAAAACATGTGAACCAGGAAAAACTCACAGAGATTAACATTTCACAGGAACAAAGAAAAAAAGGGGGGGGAGAAGGGAGCCCTCCCCCAAAGATGCTGCCAGAGTTCAAAGGGTGGGGCAGATAAGGACCCCTCCCACGGCTGTTAGGGAGAAAAGGGGCACTCCCTGTGGCTCCAGAACTGGGGGTATGGTGGAATTCCCCAAAAAAGATTCACGGAGACCTGCAACAGAGAAGACAGCGATCAGTGCAGAGGCCGGGCCAGCCCTGCAGGTCTCAGAAGGATGCCCAGCCCTGGAGCGTGACAGGACACTCACCTGGAGGAGCGGTGCCGCATGGGGTGGGGGCTAGGCGTCTCCCTCCTGCGCTTGTGGCCTGGGGAGCGGCTATCCCCATGCTGGCCTCTCCGGGATCCGCGCTCGCTGCTGCTGCAACACAGGACAGACATCAGACCACACAGGACAACACCCACCTCTGGCACCTCTAAGCCTCAAAAATTTTCCTAATAAGTTGTTGCTGACCCAACTGGGCTGGTGGAAAGCAACCCCCACTGCCCTACCTCTGCTGCTCCCGTGGCGAGGGCTGGGGTGAGGGGCGGCGGCGCTCCGCAGGCGAGTAGCTGAGGGACCGCGAGTCCCTGAGGGAATCTATTGGCTTCCGGGGGCTGCGGGACCTGGGGAGCAGAGTAGGCCTCCATAGCGCCACACCCTTCCAAACCCACCAGCCAGCACTCAGGACCACCCCCCAGGTCCTGACCACCAAACCTCATACCACACAGGGCCAGCCTCAGACCCACCTTTGTCCGCTCACTCACCCATCCGCCCGCACATCATCCACCGAGTGCCCCAGTGGGCAGGGCACGGGGTGCAGCGGGGGACGCAAAGATAAAGACAGTCCCTGCCCTTGGAGCAGCTCTGTCTGGTGGTGAAGGCAGGCCAAGGGAGGCTCACTCAGCCCCATGTGTGGGAAGCAGCCCCGCAGGGATTGATGTACATGGGTCTGGGGACCCAGGGGAAGGGGACATGGGGCAAGGAAGGGAAGGGGCAGGGTAGTCGTCTTGAAGGTGCTGTTTGAGCGGAGTCTTGCAGAACGAGGAGTTCACCAGGCGGACAAGGGAATTCCAGGCAGAAGGAACAGCATGTCCAAAGGCATGGGGTTCTCCTTAGACTGCAAGGCGCTGGGTATGGCTGGAGCACAGGGCATGTGTGGGGGCGGGCAGGAGAGGAGAACACAGGGCAGGCAAGGCCAGTTGGTGAAGAGCCTCACACGCCATTCCCGCAGAGGTGGGGCTTTATCCTGCAGGCCACAGGGCGTCCCGGAAGGATTTGTGGAGTGGAGGGAAGTAACCAGATGTACATTTTAGAAAGATCCCTCTGGCTACGTGTGGAAGAGAATGGCGTGGAGGCAGGGAGACGGGGAAGAGGCTGTGGACAGAGTCGGGAGAAGATGACGGTGGCCAGACCAGAGCCCTGGCAGTAGCAACGGGGAAACTTAAAAGCTAGACTCCCTGGGACCAGGGACCAGGCTGCATGTCAGGGCAGGGAAAGGAAGGAATCTAGGACACCCCAATTCTGGCTTGAGCACCCATGTGCATGGTACAGCCCTTTGCCAGAACAGAGCACCAGAGTAGGTGGGGAGAGGAGCGCCTGACTGCTCCCATAGAACCAGACACCACAGTCCATGTGAGACACCCCAGCAGGAATCTCACACCCCAGGGTCACACCCCACCCCTTCTATCTCAAGCAAGGCAGCACTCACCTCTGCTCGCCAGGGGGTGGCTTCTTGGGACTTGCAGGTTTGGGCAAGGCCTGAGGGCCAGGCTTAGCAGGGGAGGGGGAGGAGGAAGTAGAAGAGGAAGAAGAGGAAGAGGAAGAAGAAGAGGAGGAGGAAGAAGAAGAGGAAGAAGAAGAAGAGGAGGAGGAGGAAGAGGAGGAGCTGGAACTGGAACTGGAGCTGCTAGAGCGTCTCTTCCGTTTGGCTGGGGTAGGCTCCGGAGAACGTCCCTCTCGAACAGCCTCCTTTGGGGCTGGAGCAGGGCTGGGGACCCTGTGGGAGAAGAGAAGTGTCACAAGTAGACAAGCTGCCCCAGCCCCAACCCTACCTTCCTTGGCCTGGAGGAACGGCAGTGGGGGAGGGGTATCTGAGAAAGGCCCTGGGAGCTCTCCCAGCCGAGAGCCAGTAAGCGCATTCTCTGGAGAGCAGTGGCCCCGAGCTGACCCAACCTCTGCTAACACAAGCAACAGGCTGGGGCCCGCAGCACAAGGGATCAAGGCTAAACCTCAAGAATGTCCCTGATGGAGGAATAAGGCCCCTGGGCCCAGGTGCTGGGTGGTCTCCTTCCTCGGAGAGCCGCAGCTTGGGGAGGCCCGTGTGTGTGCAGGTTGGCTGGGGGAGGGGCCGTCCTGCCTGGAGGCAGGGAGAGGGATGGGATGACCTCTGAAGATCCTTCCAGCCCAGGGAGTTCCTCTTGAGGTCTAACTGCCATCCCTCCTGCTGTAAAATTAAGTCCATTTCCTCTAGTTCTGTCCTCTGTAGAGACGGAAAACTTATCATTATCCTCTAGAGAATTATACCTTTGGAGACTTTTATCTGTCCCATTCCTCCCCCCGTTGCCCCCACCCCAGCATTCTCTTCTACCCCCAGCTTAATGGGCAAGATCCCCATACCTCTTCAAAGAGCCAAGAACCTCTGGATAGGGCTTCTCCCTCCCCACTCCCCACCCATCCCAAAACCTTCCCCCTAGAAAAGTCCTAAAAGTCAAGTTCTCTCACCTCTTCAGTGCTATCTCAGGTTGAGTGGGAAGGCTAGAGCCCTCCGAGTCGCTAGAACTGGAGCCAGAGGACGAGGAAGAAGAGGACGACGATGATGACGATGAAGAAGAGGAACTGGAAGATGACGAGGAAGAAGAACTCCGCCGCTCCTTTGCTGGCTGCAGGGTGGCTAACGCAGAAGGCTGCTGGGCCCCCGTGGAGGCAGGTGGTTCCCCGTCATCAGGTTGGGACACCCCAGGGACAGGGCCAGAGAGCATGCTGTTGTGGTCACCAGCAGAGGATGTGGTCTTTGCCACTGCCCCCGAGGAAAGGGACTGAGACCCTGCTATAGCGGTGGTCTGGGCAAGCAAAGATCGGGATTGATCAGAAAAAGTAGATGGCACAGGGGACCTAGGCCGATCTTGAGCTGAAGGGAAAACAGGCTGTGATGGAGTCTGGACCGTTCTAGAGGCAGGAGAGGAAGCCCGCTCAGAAGTCATTCTAGACTGGCTCGGAGCAGATGGTGGGGTTCTAGACCCTGGGCCTCCTGGTGGGGTTCTGGACCTGGCTCGGTCGAGAAGCGGTGGTGAGGTTCTGCCACTAACACGCTCGTAGGCAGAGAGGGGCACCCTGGGGCTGGTAAGATTTGCACCAGACAAAGCTGGAGCCATTCTAGCACTGGTGAGGCTTGCAGGGGCCAAAGCTGGAGGGTTTCTTGAGCTGGCAATATTCACAGCTGTGGCATGTGCAGATCTAGGACCCACCAGGTTTGCAGGGGCTGGAGCCTGGGGTGTTCGGGAACTGGAGGGATAGTTTCCAGCGGTCTGGGGTGTCCCAGAGCCCGTGAGACTCAAAGCTGCCAAAGCAGCTGGGGTTCTGGCTCCCGCTAGGTTCACAGCTGGGGCTGTGGGAGTGCGAGGGTCAGCAAGGTTCACAGCTGAAGGTGCCACTGCTGTTCTAGGACTGGCCAAGTTCATGGCTGCTGCTGCAGCTGGTGTTCTTGAGTCGGCCAGGTTCACTGCTGTTGGGATAGCAGGTGTCCTGGCACCGGCCAGGTTCATGGCTGCTGCAGAGGCTGCAGGAATCCTACTGGCAAGGCTGGCAGCTGGAGCTGTTCTGAGACTCATGAGAGGCACTGGAGCTGGAACCTGGGACATTCTTGCAGCAAGGCCAGCAGCAGACATAGATGGAGGAGGCCGAGCGGTGCCAAGACTAATGGCCGTCAGGGCAAGTGCAATTCTAGACTGAGCATGATTTTCTGGCACAGATGTTCTCGGGTGATCAGGAATTCGGGGACCTGGACCATCCATCATGGAGCCACCAGCTTGCTGCAGGACAGACATCGGTGTTCTAGAGCTGCCGAGGGGTTCAAG